GGAAACTGCATGATTCTGGCTCTTTCTGTTAAAAAGTTATTCAAAGAATACTTTTTTCCATTCTATTTTGAAATGGATAGTAGATTACTAAATTTTACAATTTTTCTCTATTCTAACTTCAAACATCGCATAATTCATGAATTTATTATATTCCACGAGAAATTTCGATGTCATATACTCAAATTCCCTGTAACATATACTTTTTATTATCGTTCACATTTGTAAAAGTTTACCAAATATGCTTTTCTAGCCTAAGAAGAATGTATTTTGTTTTATTTGGCAGATGTGGTAGTCAAACCCACCAAAAGATCGTCAAATATTCTGACCGTTGTCTTCTACACAGAAGAAGATACAAAATCATTTTTGGGAAAACAAAAACAAAATATTCATTTGGAGGTCAATGATGAAAGCGAATCTTCAGATGATGAGTCCTTGAAGGATGGAAGGGATGATGATGAGGAGGAAGATCAAAATTGTTACAATGTTGAAGCACGTATTCATATAACTGAAGCAGAACAACGGGCACGTGCATTAACATTTACGCTGTGGAATAGCGCATTTGAATCAACAACATTGGAAAATCACTTAAAATTATTATTCTTAAATGAATACAGAAGACAACCAGATATCAAAGCTATTCAAATAACTAGAACATTGGTAGGCTCCAGAGATGCGCGGTACAGTCTCGTCTCGACCCGTCTCGACGGGACGGGTCAAGACGGGACGAGACGGGATAGGTTCGAAAATTATTTTGACGAGACGAGACGAGACGGGACGAAGTGCTCACGAGACGGGACGGGACGAAACAGGATAAGAGCTGTTTCTTTAAAACTATATCTACCTGCGCGCTTTCGAATAATTATAGTTTGTCATAGAGATTTTCATAGTTAAATTTATTGGAGAAAGATTGGTCCAATAAAATGCAAGAGATAGCGTGATGAAGTTCAGATAAAAGTTTAAGTTTTATTTCAGCTGCAATCGAAAGAAACAATGGCTTCATCATCCGCACACAATCAAGAATCAGTTTCTGCTTCCTGTTCATCAAATGAACATGGCATCAGACTAGTGAAACAGAGTCTAAAAGAAAAACCATTCAAGTTTAAAGTTGGTGATAATCCGTTTGAAACGAAAGCATCAATATGGAATACATTCGGCTTCCCGGCTGAAGCAGATGAAAATGGTGAATTTAAGATAATTAAACAAATGGCTAGCTGCAAGAAGTGTTATCATACATACCCTTTCAAAGACAGTTCAACGAGTGGTTTGAATCGTCACAAATGTCCTCTGTCAGATGGTCAGACAAGGTTGAATTTTAAGAGGAAGATTGATGACATCGATACTAGTCCATCCACACCTTCAAAATCATCTTCTGTGCCATCAATGTATCATACTTCTTTACCAACACCGGCCAAAACACTCTTCTCATCTCCATCTTCATTATACAAGAAGTTTACAGAAAAAAAAAGAAGAAAATGTCACAAAATTGTTAGCGGAATGGTGCGCGCTGAACCTACGACCAATTAGTGTGGTACAGGACAGTGGTTTTTTATCACTAGCACAAGAATTTGTTAACATAGGTAAAAGTGCTTTTTTTCACTATATTTTATCAAACAAAATTTGTTCTACTACATGTGTTTTTATTTAGGTAACAATTGTGGTCCAGTTCCTGTTGATGTTAAATATTTAATACCATGTAGAAAAACCCTGTCACGCGAAATTGTGAATACAGCTGATGAAAAACGTCGTTTAGTTCAAGATGAATTGAAAAGAGCAGCTATGGATCGTTGTTTATGTATTATTCCTGATATGTGGACCGACAATCACAAACGTATTTCATATTTAGGAGCTACAGCTCAGTGGATAGATGATCACTTTTATTTGAGAAGTTTGGAACTATTTAACGAGAAATACGACCAGCCAAATAAAAAAGCTGCGAACATAATCAAAGTACGTTAATATTTTTTAATTAATTATTACTTTCTTATTTAATTTTACTAAGAGATGTGTGCTCTATTTTTTAGGCTTTGTTAACTGGGTTATCTAAATATGGTCTGGATGATTATTTAAGTGGAATTACATTTGTGAGTGATCGTGGATCTAACTTTAAATGTGCATTAGAATTATTAGCAAGAAAATATGGTGTCAAAGTATATTTTTGCGTGGCACATCGTTTAAATAACGTATTAAAGAAAACATTCTACCAAAACGACATGAAACAAACAAAGGTAGCTGCCGAACCACCTATAAACCCTAATTCTGACTATGACGACGCGGCAAAAGCTGATTCAGAAGAAGAAGAAGAGAACACGGATGACGGCAGCAGCGATGATGAAGATGGAGATGACGAAGAGATAATGAAAACTATAACAATGAGAGAGAATGATTTAACACAAGTTAAATTGAATCAATTACCTCAGTATGCTACCGAAGTTATCAGTAACATAAAACTAGCCAAAGAAGTTGTGCGTTACATAAAGAGGGTAAGTTTGACAGTTGTTGTATTTTGAAACGAAAAATGTTTTTACATTTAGGTGAATTTAAATCAAGAGTTAGAAAAGGTCCATACTGTAACATTAAAGCAATGTACTGTCGTTCGATGGTTATCTATGTCGGCATTACTTGAAAGTTTAGTGAAAGCTCATCATCAACTTCGTATTATAATGACAAATAATGACTCTATTCATCGTTTAAATAAATTACAAATGGAAACTATCGAAAAATTAGCTGAAATGTTAGAACCGTTTAAGGATGTAATGACTC